ACATATTAACTGACTGACTTCTATATTAAAATTTCTCAGAGTATTATGCTCACACAAGGACTTAGGGAATATTGTTCTTATAGATTATTCACTAATAAACAGCTAGAGAATAAACTTCAGATAATCAATTGATAAAGATACATCAACATAAAGATTATTGGTGAGTATTAAATTTATACATATTTTCTTAGAGAACTCAGGTAGATGAGGGTTATAGGTAACAGTTTAATATGGCAATCTACACTGACAACGTAGATACATTTCACCTTCAAAGGTGGGGAAAATAAGGAGAACAGGTATAAATCTCTGTGAAAACACTTTTTAGTAGTCATATAAGTGATTGTGTAATAATTGTTGCCCTCATAATATTTTGTGTGTAATACTGGATAAAACAAAAGATTATAGCTTCCCCATTGCCTCTGAGAATCAATATTCTCTGTAGTACAAAATTAGGACTGAAAATATCAGAAGGCACTCATGAGGTTTTTTTTTTATTTCTCTCTCTCTCTCTCTCTCTCTGGGAAGGACATTGAAATAATGTCCATCTCAGTAACAACGAGCATCCCTAAAACCTAGATTGTGATGTTGAAATACCACTTCCCACTAAAACAAAACAGGGCTACTGGAAAAAAACCCACAGCTGATTTTGGGTCTGGGGAAGGTAATGCATTAGATGAGCCCAGTAGATTCTCCTATACTAGTTAGGAAGGAAAATATCAGCAAATACAAGGTGCGTTAATAGCACTTGAAAACCAACTTGCAAAGACTCTCATTGGTTAGTACGTGTAATAACTGAGATGGAGGAAAACATGTCAAACAATTTTAAATACATGAGGCAGAGGGACACAGATACACACGTACAGCTACTAATCATCTTTGTACAACATAGAATTAAAGAAGTACACACTCAAATAGTTGTTTAATAATTTTATATGAAATGATCACTGGATAAATGTTATATGTGAGGCAAAGTTTCTCTTTGTAGAAGTATTACAATAAGTAAATAAAGAAATAATGATATAATTTGCTTATACAGTTATTAATATTTTTTTTCACACTGTACAACCCTCTTCAGTGCTCACAGCCCAGAGAAGGAGGTTGGGCAATGGTTTGAGGCTGCAATTTACTCTGGCTCGGGGACACTATGAGAGGCCACAGGGAAGGGCCCACCATAAATCCATTACCATGCTCCAGTTATTAATATTTTTACAATAAGTCATGAATGGTAAAATCTAGGCACATAAATCATGAATGGTAAAATCCAAGAACTGATGGCTGCTGACATCACAAAAAGAGAGGTAGATAGGGGTATGTGCTTTCTGATAACAATTCCAAACTACCAGGAAGGAGTCTTTCCAACATATTTAATTCTAATCTATTCTGATTATGCCTCTAAATTTGATCACCAATGCACAAAAAATAGATAAAGCAGAAGAATATGTTAAATTAAATCAGGATGGAAATAAATACTGGAAGAAATAAGTTAGTTTCTTTAACACATAAATTGAAAGGGAGGAAATGGAATAAAATAATTGCAAAGGCTGTAAAAATATGCCTACCTCTATTCCACCCTATAATAAAACAGAAAATAAGAGGGCAAAGCAAAACCATATACTTTAGGGTTATACTTGGATAATGAAACTATAGAATAGTTCAGAAATTAAAAAAAATGAAAAGAGTGTTTGTTTATTCTTGAGAGGAAGGATACTGTGATCCAGGATAGGTGGAAGGCCTCTGTGGTGCAAGGAACAGTACATTTCTTGACATTGAAGGTGATTGGAAAGTTGTTTAATTTATAACAAGCATAAGGCTGTACATTTGCAGTATTTTGTTTTGATACATCTCCTTGGGCAAGAGGAACAAAAGAAAAATAGACAAATGGAATTATATCAAACTAAAAAGGTTTTCCACAGCAGAGGAAGCCATCCATAAATCAAAAGAAAAACTTATTGTATAGTAGAAGGTATTTACCAATGATACATCTGGTAAGAGGTTAATATTCAGCATTTATGGTGAAGACATACAACTCAACACAAAAGAAAGACAGAAAAGAAAAGGAAAAAAAAACAGACTGATTACAAAATGGGCAGAGGACATGAATAAACATTTCTCCAAAGAGGACACATTGATGGCCAATAGACTATGAGAAGATGTTTAATATCACTGATCCTTAGAGAAATGTGAATTAAAACCACAATGAGATGATATTACCTAACATTTGTTAGAATAATCGTTATCAATAAATAATCAAACAGCCAGTGTTGGTGGGGATGTGGAGGAAAGGGAATCCTCATGCACTTTTTGATGGGAATGCAGATTGCTATAGCAACTGTAGGAAACAGTACAGAGATTTCACAAAAAATTAAAGATGGATCTGCTTAAGACCCAGTAATTCCACTTCTGGGTATACATCTGAAGAAACCCAAAACACTCATATGAAAGAATATATATATATATACACACACATATATAAGAATATGTATATATACACACTTATCTGTGTTCATTGAAGCATTATTTACAAATCCCAAGAAATGGAAGCAACCCAAATGCCCATCAATGGATGAGTGGATAAAAAATCAGTGCTACATGTATACAATGAGCCATAAAAAGAATAAAATTTTACCACTTGTGACAGCATGGATGGACTTAGAGGATATTGTGCTAAGTAAAATGTCATTCAGAGAAAGAGAAAGATCATACGATTTCATTTGTATGTAGAATCTAAAGAACAAAGCAAACAAGATTGAAACAGACTCACAGATACAGAGAATAGACTGAAAGTTGCCAGAGGGGAGGGAGAGTTGGGGGACAGGGTGAAAGAGGTGAAGTGATTAAGAAGCACAACGTGTTAGTTACAAAACAGTCATGGGGATGTAAAGTACAACATAGGAAACACAATAATAGCTATGTATGGTGCCAGATGGGTACTAGATTTATCGGGGTGATCACTTCATAATTATATGGATATCTAATCACTATGTTGCACACCAGAAACTAATATAATATTGTGTGCCAACTAAAATTTAAAAATAAAAAAATTATCTAAAAAAGCTAAGTGGGTTTACCAGTGACATACCAGATTTGCAAGGGTAAGGACTACTTAAAATCAAAAGGATGACAAAAGCCGCCCCAGGCAAGTAGTAACAACGAAAAAAGACAGGAAAGGTTTCCCAGCAGAAGAATGGGTCTGGAGGGGCAGAGGAGAACATTGTAAAAGTGGAACATCCAGTTCACTAGGTGGGCATCTCAGATATGTACTAAAAACCATTCCTTCAAAATGTTTATCACAACACATTATAGTACTACCAGAGAAACTGGCAAATCCACCTTTATAATGAGAGGATTTAATAGAAATCTCACATGATTTATAAATTAATTAGACAAAAATCACTAAGCATGTAGAATGTTTTTAAAAAATTAATAAGCTTGATAGAATGGACATATACAGACTATTGCATTCACTAAGTGGAAGTAATACATTTGTTCAAGGACATTTATTTCTTATGGGAATCAACCATGTATTCTGTGACTTTTAACATAATTCAAAGTCAGTATTACACAGACTGTTCTCTCTGCCTCCAATGTAGTTAAATATTAGCCAAAAAAGGATAATTTAGAAAAAACTCATATGCTTTCAAGTTAAAAACACTTCTAAACAGCTTAAGAAGAAAAATCACAATAAAATTAGAAAATAGGGGGAGGGAGGGGTGGAGAGAGGAAGAGAGGGAGAGAGAGGGAGTTGTGAGAGAGAGAGACATTGACTGGTTGCTGCTCAGAAGCTCACCAGCAGAGAATCAAATCCACACCCCAGGTGTGCGCCCCAGCTGGAAAATGACAGCCTTTCAGTGTGGGGAACACTCCAACCAACTGAGCCACACTGGCCAGAGCAAGCTGGGGTTTTTTGTTGTTGTTTTATGTTTTGCTTTAGTTTTTTTGTCAGGTCAACACAGTATTATTTTCTTAAGTTCAATTCATACACTTGCTTTCTGCCTGCCCCGGATGGTAGGAAGATATGTATGGAGTGCAAGAAGCATATCAGGAAAAGAGCCCCTGAGTTTTAATGACAAAACCTTGATTCAAATCCCAGCTCTTAATGGCATTATTAATAATGACATAAATGACAGTATTCAGAACATAGGTGACATGAGTTCTTTAACCTCTTGAAGTCTGTTAACTGGCATCCACTCTAACACAAGAGAATGTACTTTTAAAGTTTAACACTACACACGAGTTACACATTTTCATTACTTTAAAAGTGGGGCATATCATCTGTATTTTAAACACTAAATATCAGCTATCTAATCTTTTGCCAGGTAAGAGAGTAAAGGAACAGTTGGGACGTGGATCGGTTCACATTGGCCTTCAGAGAATTGCCAACACGGAGGCAGACGGGCAGGGCGGGCAGAAGGAGCCCAGCATGGAGGGACAGAACAGAAAGGAAGCAGCCGCTTTTTCCAGCAGAAGCTCTAATCGGCTTGAAGCCCATATGTTAAGAATATCCACCCTTCATTGAATAACAATTTCCTTTTGGTGGCACCATCAGCACCCAGTCTATAGACTACCTGCATTAACTTCTAGACACTAAACATGTGTACGTGTAAAAATGTACACAAAGAAAAAAATCTACCGGCAGACATTACTAAAATTGGCTCAAGACTCTGAGGGACGTGAAAGTGAAGCATTAGGAGATGATAGGAAAAGTATGAGGTCCATGCAAACTATGAGGTCTGCCTTAGGGGAGAGAGAAAGAGAGGAGGAGAAGGGAAAGCGGAAGGGAAGAAGAAAGAGAAGGGGGGTGGAGAGAAGGAGTAATCAGGGCATAATCTGTCCTTCAGGAAAATATGTCTTCTGGAGAACATACACAAATTTATGCAGATTTTAAAGTCATCTGTCATTTACGTTTCACAATATAATTAGCTACATTGTTGCAAGAAAACACTCGAATATTCTCCTACTTATTTGGTTAAGTATATAGCAAGTTTGTTTCAGTCTCTTACCTGAAGCATTTATCTTCCAGAAATGAAATGTAATCTCATTTCTTTTCAAGAGTGAAATATGCTCATACAAGCTAAAACACTTCTATCTCAAGGTAACATTATGCTTTCACTGGAAGCTTTTATTCCTGTTCTGCAGGTTTGGCATGTTTAGGAATCTATTTTTCATCAAACACTAGAGGGTTGTATGGAAAAAAAGGCGTTTACCTAATGTGGAAAGGATTCAAAACAAACATTTAACAGTGAAATAGCTTCAATGTGTAAACGAGTATTTGTGCCAAGAGATACTGAACAGTAATATGCAAAACTATATATCTTTAAAGTACTTTTGATGATGTAACATGCATTTGATTGTGGGAGTGGATCAGGAGGGTGGAAAATGGTTTTAATTCACAGAAGAGCAGAGTCCTTGAAAGTGCTGCTCTCGCCATGCCGTGAGTTTGATGATCAAGTTTTCTTTAACTTGGTTTAATATATTCACATTTTCTCTAGCTTAGAAAAATGTGGATTTTATTTGCCCAACCTGAAGACCCTAGCAAATTTCAATTTAAAAATAATTTTTATTATCTAATCATATTTGATAAAAGTAGAAATAAAAGAATGATTTACAAGGTTAGCTAGGAAGTCAATGTGAGTAGCTTGTTGTTTTGCTTACTGCTGTTGAAAATGAGTTAGGAAAGATTCTTCAACAGTGACCTTGCCAGTAAGATACAGCTTAATAGTCATCTTTAAAATTTAACACAGAGAGTTATGATCCAGAACCTTGAGACTGGCTACATGCATGCTTTATATATGCTCAGCATTTTTCTATCCTTCGTACTCTTTCCAATATTACTTGTATAAACACTTTGAAAGCAGGGCCTCACTTATTAAGTCAAGAATTCTCATGGAGTATCTATTGGGTGCTTAGCAGCTGCTTGTTGCTGGGTATAATGTGATGAACAGGACTGGCAGTACCCTGCTGTCATGAAGGCTACAGTTCAGTTTCACCTCCTTAGCCGTGTTGCCTAGTGATCTGAACCAGCTGGTATCTCATCAGAAAACAAATGAAAGCTGTTGTAGATGTGAGAAACTTGTTTGTGACTTCCAATTTAAAATACCAGGAAAATGACAAAGAAAGGGGAGTATCTTGATTGAGTTATTTTAAAATAAAGTGCTAATTGCATTGGAGCTTATAGTTAAACTAAATTGCTCTCTCTTTTATTCACTTCGGTTTGAGAGGAGAAAAAAAACAAATCAATAGCATATGAAGTCTTTATAAAGATAGAATGTTCAACCCTTCAAAAATAGTATTTATGTTAAGTCTAGTATAAAGGAGCAACAAATTGATATTGGTATTCCTCAACCTTATACAAATTGAGTTTCTTGAGACTTCTTTCTGTAAAACTTGTCCAATCATTTTATTTAAGATGATCATTTGATCACTAAAGATTAAAAACAGATACAAGTTTATTAAAGAGTATTCAGTTGGAATAAACTAATGGTTTAAGGCCACCTGCCCCGCTGGGGTGCCCGCTGTTCCTCAGCAGCACAGGCGAGAGCTGTGCACTGGCCCGTGAAACACCCTTCGGACCCTCTTCCTCACGTAGGGGCTGAGACCCTAAAAGTCACACTGCCCAAGGGTCAGGATGAGGATTAGTTTCTACCGTGAAAATGCATTTGCACAAATTTAAAAGGTGGAAGCAAGGAATATTTGGGTGGCTTTGGACTTTTTTTTCTATTGATAAGCAAGCTCTTGGTTTCTAAAGCAATATTCTAGTGTCCGTTCTTCACTTCCCTTCGTGTTGAGGGGCAGCTGTGTCAAAGGTGGTGGTGACAGCTAGTTCCAGCTTCCTGGCCCTGGGATTGCATTTAAAGTGAAGGCTTGTGCTCAGTAGATCTGGGGGACAGGGGGTGCTCAGTCCCTGGATGCGTCAGTTCTGCAGGGCAACGTTCCGTTTTAAAGCCCATGACTTTGGCCCTTTCTTTCACTGTTTTGAAAGTGCTTTATTCTCTGTATTAAATCTTCTTTTCCTGCCCTGGCTGGTGTAGCGGATGGTCAAGGGCTGGGGGCTGCTTCCCTGCAGGCCGCCCAGGGGAGACAAAAGGCAACCATACATTGATGTTTCTCTCCCTCTCTCCTTCCCCCTTCCCCTCTAAAGATAAATAAATAAAATCTTAAAAAAAAAGATCTTCTTTTCCTGGTCTAATACTTAGATTTGCTTCTGAACAAATGATTCACAATAGTGTATTAGATTGTGAGTCATTTCCCAGTATCTGTTCTTAACCTCTTTTGGAAATAGAGTTCACATATGTATCAGGTCAAAAACTGCCTTTCTCAGCCTTCTTATCAATAGGTTCACCATGTGTCTAAGTTCTAGATAATGCAATTTAAAAAGATGTTCTATTTGGCACTTCAGGTCTGTCTTTACAAGGATGGAGCATACAATATGCTGGCACCCTGGCCTCTTTCTGGTCTCTGTGTGATGACAAAGGTCCAACGACATCCCTGTATCCAGGGACCATCACATGTTGAGAATGGTAGACTGTTCTGCCGATAGTGAACCACCTGCCCCTGGCTGATTCAATGAGACATACATTTCTATGTTGTTTAAAATGATGGGTTTTAGATCCTATTTTTAAAAAATAGCATCTTAATCTTAATGAATTATGATTTGGGTTTTATATGTGGGACTCTACCATACTAAGAAAAATGAGGCACTGGTCTAACAGCTGGGTACTGGGTGCCAGGAGCCCAGATACTGCCGGCTGGAAAGCCAGTCATCCTCACTACTCCATCATAAACATTTAGTAAAACTTCACTTGCAATCCTCAGAAAGGTAGACTTCTTGCCAAAAGGACATGTGACCTCTGAACTGTTTGGAAAAACCGAGAACATTGAAAAAACTCAGAATGTTGATGTGTCTGTTTGCTATTTTCTGTTGTGCAAAGTTCTGCAACAGGCTGTACTTGGGCTGGTTTTGACGGGTGATTTTAAAGGAGCAGCTTTAGCAGTGAATGGGCCTCTGGGTCCTCTAGTGCCTGCACTGAAACTTCTCAGCTATTGGGATACATTCTAGCTTCAAAGTTTGGATTGAAGGTGAGGATTTCCTACCTAAAGTAATATATTTAAAAATATTTTTAAGGTTTAAAAGTGTTTGAACTTTATAATTCCCAGTAGGAAAATGTTATCTGAAAGAATACCGTAATGACAAACCACTGTCAAATGTTATAGCTGCATTTGGGGCAGAGAGGGAGGGATTCTCTTCAACGCAGTCCAGCTCTCTTCACGAGAAGGTCAGAGTGCACTGGTTTGTATTATTGTGGTATTTACTGGGTGATTTAAGTTGCTTTTCCTTCAACAAGGGTCTTTATCTGTCAGATGAGCATTATTACACCTGACCTCTAAATATGGCTGACCATTTACTGATGAGATTCAAAACCTTTAGGTTGCTCCAATATGTTGATATATTTGCTGAGTTCTGAGCCATGTCCTGGAAAGCCACCATGACTTCTGAATCCTGCATGGATGCAAGAACCTCTGGACCCCTGAGAATTTCATTGAGTCCAGGCATTCCTGCCGTTCTGGGCTTCCACCCAGGAAAGCCACCCCTGGCAAAAAGCCACATTGAGCTCCTGATTGTTGTCTGGCTTCTTCTGCCCTCTGGGCTCTCTCCTGTTCTTCCTGAGCTTTCTTAACCCTTTCCATTCTTTTTTTGTTCTTCACATTTCCACTCACCCTTTCTCCGATGTTCTTTAATTTTCTGGGCCCTTGGCTGAGCTCCTTTCAGCATTGCACTAGCATCTTCAACATATTCCAATTTACATGTAAGGGCGAGATCCTGGGCTGCTTCTTCCCAAGGTCCCAGAAGTCTGCGTACTTTCCTTTGCCATTTATGAGGCTGAGTTCAATCAGGATTTATTTTGATAGCTCTGTCACAGTTTCATATGACAGCATTTAGCTTCTGTAATTTGATGAAGACACTTGTTCTCTTGGTAAAGAGAATGGCCAAGAGAGGATTCAGCTTAATGGCACTTGTGAATAAGTTAATGGCTTTCTGTAGTTCATCATCATTTAGGGCATCAACACAGCCACTTTTCTATCCTTTGCCTGATCTATTACCTCCTCGGTTATCTCTACATTTTCATCTCCCATTCCTTGAGGAATGTCGGTGTCTGGTTTAATCACACCATCATGGTAAATTTCTAGATATCACTTTCCTCCCTTGATGTTTTTATGTCTTCCTCTACCTTCCTAATATCTGTTTTTTCTTCCTTATTTTCTTCTGATTTGGTTTTATGAGTAGTAGGTGGTATTTTTACCTTCCATGTTCTCTACCCACTCCCTCAGGAAGTGCATTTCCTCAATATGCAGAATGCTGGGACCATGCCTACACATTTTCACAAAGACCCTAAGCTCACCCACTCTGAGGAGATCCATGACCAGAAAGTGGCGTGGCTGCTTGCTGACTTGGCCTGACTGTGTGGAAGGGGCTGCCTAAACTAATACTTTGAGATCGTTTCAAAGTAGACACCATTAAATTGAAGGAAAGCAAAACTGTGCTGGGCAGAGAGAGCTATAAATGTAAAATGATAGTCTGGAAACATAGAAATTCTGTCTAGGTTAGATCTTTGGTTATAGTTATTTGTCCATGGATCTGTTGGTGACTAGAGCAAAAACATACTAAGATGTTTTTAGAGAGCATATTGATCTTTGAAACTCAGTGTGTATGTGACCTTTAAAGAAACTTCATAAGCCTCTTGACTGGCCTAGCAGAATATAGCCCACAAAATATGTGTAGTATCCAAAGGCTAAGAATAGTGTCCAATTCTCTCTGAAGGAGATAATTACAGGGTAATCAAATGCTTTTGAGAGTGAAAGGAGAACATACCTGTTTAGCAAAAGGACATGATCAAATTTAATGCATGCATACATAAGGGAACGCCATGTACATGAGAAAGTCAGATAGGTTCAGAGACAGGAAGCATGGCTATATAAAGCATCCTGAGCTAAGGATGAGGTAAGGGGCTTTGGAGGCTTCAAAAGGTCACTGCAGGATGATGAAAAGAGAAGATCTTTAGTAAATAGAAAATTTCCCTGCCTTATAGATAGGTCAAAAGTAGTTATCTCTGACAATCTCTATGGGTAAGGCCCCGATTTCAAGTTTCTAAGTATTTAAGGGAGAGGGGCAGAAATTTCTCTAGGGCTTGAAGCTAAAGTTGCCTTTAGCTCAGAACAGTCTGCATATCACAGAGGCATATATTGGGGTAACTGTTTCTGTACCCCCACAAATCTCTCCTCTGAAACTTCCCTAGAAGTTTGGCATTCCAGAGTTTTTGGGTTGGTAGATTGTTTTACAGATCATTATAGCAATCTCAGTCTTGAAAAATGTTCAGTTCAGCTCAACAGTTGTGTCTCATTTCAGGAGACAGGGATACAAGTGGACTCCGAAAGGTTCAGCCTATGGTGCAAGCACTAAGGCATTTAATAAGATGTATCTCTATAGAAACAAAAGTAAAAAGTAACCATTGGAGCAGACTATAAATGTAACTTCTGAGTTCTGAACACAGGCAGTCAAGAAGATTTCTAGGCTGTCTCAAATCATTTTCAGATGAAGAGAAGACAGGCGGTTACCATCTGACAGACTTTCCTGGTCTGTAGTTTGAATGTCTCTGGCACGAAGATGCCCCTCTATGAGTTGCTGTGTGATTTTCCTGAAGTCTGCATCAAGTCATCCCACTTTGGCTTGCGTGGCCTTTAGCTTGCAGCAGCAGTTTTAGTTCTCAGTGATTCCCAGTCAATGGATGGGAAAATGAAAATGTTAGTTTGGAGGGTTGTAACCATGTATTTATGAAAACTAAAAAATTCAAGATATAGTCTAATTTACTGGTGGAAAAAAAACCCTCAAAACACAACGACCTGCACTAGAACCTGATACCCATATAGATATATGATAGTTTCGTTTCAACTGAAACAATTTTTTCTGTCTAAAATTACTTCTGCCTCTATAACAAAATTAAGACTTATTTGCAAAACAAGTCTAGTTTCAATAAATGTGGCCTGATTATTTGTATCAGTTCAACAAGAGTAGTAACTAACCACATAGGCTCTTTTAAATCTGCTTTACTGGAAATTTTCATAAGGAATCTTCAGATTGAACTTAAAAAGGCCTCTTGAGTCCAGAATAAGCCAAGTTACATACTTGCCAGAAGACTTCACCTGTAATGCCTATAAAATTGGGGTTAATTTCTCTCTTTTTGAGTTCCCCAGTGTATCCTGAGCTTCTTTCCTTTCATCTCCCAGGAAGAAACCTTCATTCCTTACCTGCAAAAACTACCATGAGCCATGTAAGCAAGGCGCCAGCCTGTTTTTAACAAGGGGATTTTATTGGCTCCAAAAAATCAATCTTAATTCCTTAGGTCATATCTGGGCCTACCCATGTCTCTCTCAAAATACGACATTCCAGTCAAAAAGCCTTGTAATATAATTAGTTTCTAATTGTGTCCTGTTGCAAAGAGAACAAATTCTTGTTGAACTTATGCAAACGAACATATTGCCATAAAAATAAAATACTTGGTGAGAATTTGCAAAGTCTGTAGAGATCAACTGGAGAGAAAAAAATAAGTGTTTCAATACTGGTTATAAAAGTGTAACTTAACAAATTGAAGTGGACTTTGGCATTCTAAATGTGGCTTTCTTTTGACCATTGGATAAATTTTTATTGCTGATAGAAATAAAAAATGTGCTAGAAAATATTAACGATCTCAGGCAAAAACCACGAATGTTCCCATTCTGTCTCTGCATAGAAATGGATCAATTTACCATTGTCAAACTTTATTACCTCTTTAATTCCACATACATTTTCGAAATGACAAAATTCCTCTTTCTTTCCAGAAGAGTTTTTTTTAATGCTTTAAAAAATTTTCTACTCCCTTTTTCAGCTTCTTCATATGCTTTTTACAGGTCAGGGTTTTTAAAAATTCAGATATATTCTTAATAATCACTGGGAGATTCCACAAATTTTCACAACTAATTACCTGATTTTGCATATAATATAATGATATGGTTTCAAATGTTATTCAAATACATTTATACATCAACTGCTTTATTAGACAGTTAAAACAGAAGCTAAATACTCTTATGCATAATCATACTTTTCTGCCGTATCTCATTATGTTTTTGTATTTTGTTTTAATGCTGTAGTATCCAAACTGTTGTGTTGCTAATTTTCCCAAACAATAAGTTAGGTCATGGGCAGAGAAAAATATTTAGAGCTTTAAAGCTATCAAAGAAAGGGAAGCTGGTCATTCATTTTGTTTGAATGCCAATTCTGTGTTTCAGAATTTCAGTTAACTTGAATGCTAATGAATGATGGTCTGCTTTGTTTCAGAGGGAAGCAAACCTGTCTTCACCTATTCTAGAGCACCACCTTCTGGAAATGAAGTGCTTCTCTATGTGTCAAAAGCAGCCCATTTGGATTGGTGTAATCATGATTTGGTACTGAGAAGAGCCATGGATCATGAGATGCACGTCTCCATCCACCACCCTGACCCATTACAGTTAAAGACACTGATACATGGCAAATGCTGAGTAAGTGAAAGATTTTTGGACTGCTATATTAGAAGTAAAATTCTGTCCATTTTACATTTGTTGCTTATTAGAGCAAAATAACAAAGTTGTTTTGCTAACATAATATATAAAACTTTTAGTAATAGTTCATAGAAATATGTAATACTATTGTTAAAACTGTTAAGGACAAGCTGAGCCTTAGCAGTTTCAGTTAATATGTTCTAAGGGTAGTTAATGAATATACAAGGACTGTCCAGAAAAAGCCCAGCCACTGTTAATATGATGAGAATGTTTTGCATGACATCATGTAACCTGGCAGTGAAGGAGAGTGAACTGGAATGCACACACATGAATAATGACAACTTCACTGTACTAGTCAGTGGGGGCAGTAGATGCCATCGAGTGAGCATGTGTCCTGTGTGGTCACATTCAAAATGACTGAGCAAGTAGAGCAATGAATCTGCTTCAAATTTTCCATTTAGGTTGAATATTCTTCCATGGAAACTATTCAGATGATTCAGAAGGCTGCTGCTATCGACAACTGGTGATTGGCAGCTTCATCATGATGATGGGCCCGCTCGTGTATTCATGTCTTGTACAAAGTTTTTTGGTGAAACATCAAATCACCCAGGTAGCCAACTCAGCTCCCTTCAGCCCAGATATGGCATACTGGGACTTCTGGATTTTCCTGAAACTAAAATCAACTTTGAAAGGAAAGAGATGTCAGACTGTAGATGAGATCCAGGAAAAGATGATGGGGCAGCTGATGGCGATTAGAACTGTGTGAGGTCCTAAGGTGCCTACCTTGAAAGAGACTGAGGCATCATTTTCCTATGTATGATGTTTCTTATATCTTGTATTTTCTTCAACAAATGTCTCTATTTTTCATTTTACATGGCTCGATAACTTCTGCACACAACAGTCAGCCTTTTTCTTACTAATTCTTAATATATCAAGTTAATTAAACTTGCAATTAACTAGATTTCAGATTTAAGTCCGGGGCAGCCCACATTTTCCACCCTCAAGCAAATATTTTCTCTATGTAAGCACTGAAAAGTTTTTAAAGGAAGCTTTGATATTTCTCTGTTGGAATCCTATTGAGTTAAAGAAAGGTATGTAAAGAAAAGTTTTTTTTTATGACTGTCCTATTTCTGGAATTTCAACTCTGAGAAATGTGAGGTGTTTCTGAGGTTTAATTTTTAAAAAATAAATACATCAGTCAAAGATTAAAAAAATCTCTAATTCCTGGTTTAATTCTGTTCACTTGAAGTCAATGTGAAATATATGCTAATATATCTTTATATCAAATGATCTTTATGTTTTCCTACCAACCTTGGGCTAAATTTAGAGGAGCAAATTTGTTGTGCATGGATAACCACTCATCCCCATGACAGATATCACTAACTGACCTGGCTCCATTTCTTAGTGATCCAGGAAGCGGTATGTGCAACACTTTGCTCCAAACAGTTACTCTCAATAGCAGGGTTTGTTTATGAAATGAAGCTTATACATTATTATTGAGGCTCCGGAGAAACCACAACAAGGTTATTATCATTTTTCTTTATTATCAGTAAATTAATTTTCTTACATCAATTTCTTTACTTTCAATATTATCATTTTTCTTTCCATAACCAATAATAACCAATGAGAAAAGTATGTGTAAGTATAATATCAATTTTAAAGGATAAATAAAAAGATATGATATTTTGATATGTGTAATGCACATTTTTTGCCTAACTTTTTGAGGGGAAAAATAAGGATGCACATTATACATGAGTACAACAATTAGGTACCATGGGTATAATAATCCCATGTATAATTTGCACAAAGTGTGGGTGCACATTATACAAGGCAAAATACGGTAGTTGCTTTATTGATATAATTTAAATTAGCAGTTAGGGCTGGTAGTTTCAAACTATCTTCTATTAAATTATACCATTAGATATTCATTCTTTGAAAGTAATTCTTATTCAACAAGAAATACCATCAAGAGTTCAAACATAATAGCATGCCAGTTATTAAGAATTTTTATCACATTTATTTCCTAAAAACATCAGGCACTTTAGGAACATCTTTTCTTGGACAGAAGGAGAAAGAGATTGGCAGACCAGATTTTTGAGCACATGTTGAGACCAAAGAGAGCAATACCCATAGCAAGAGAAAATAGAAGATTGATTACTTTTTCTAGGATGAAATCCAACAGTCTTCAAACCTTTTAGGCGCCAGATTATTATGTTCTGTGTGCTCAGTTCTGCAGTCCTAATAACAAAAAGCACTCCTTTGGGTCAGAGAGATTTAGATGAAAATAGTTTGTTGGAATTGTTCCATTGATTCATTATTATGCTTCAATTAGAGTAGCACAGAGGGAAGAAATTGAGGGGAAATTGCAAATAAAACAAAATTCCCTTGAGAAATAAATTTAAAGCCAATATAATGAGTCAGAGCAGAGATAAAATAACGCATTTTTTGCCCAAATTTTTGAGGGGAAAAATCGGTGAGATACATGACAAGAGCAAGACATGTCCCAAAGTATGAGCCACAGTATGAGAGAGGACTCTCTACAATAAACACTGAAATTATCTCCTGGGGGGGGCAGGAAATAATTATCTCCATTGTTGCACAGGCTCCCTCAGCTACATGAGTGTTCTAGAAACCCATCTGTACCAGTGTACCTAGCTGGTGTTGTTGTGAGAGGCTGGGTTCTGCTTCAGTGAATTTTGTTTAGAAGACTCTTTCAATATGTTTGTCCATTTCATCATGGGTGACTTACGTGGGCACCTGACCACACCATGCTGCGTGTTCAGCAATTTTCGACCCAAAATGGCACAATCCCCATGCCCCACCCTCCCTATTCACCAGATCTCACCCCAAGTGACATTTTTTTTGTTGTTTCCCCAGATGAAAAAAAAAGTCCTCCAAAAGAAACATTTTTCTGATGTGGGAGAGGTGAAACAAAAAAGACAGAAGCCCTAAAAGGCATCACAATTGACAAGTTCAAAAACTATTATGAGCAGTAGAAAAACTATCTTGATAGGTATATTGCATCAAATAGAGAGTACTCTGAAGGTGACTGAGGTTTAAACATGTAAGAATAAATACACAACTTTTTTTGTAAATAAATTCTGGGTTTTGGGGTTCCCCTTCATTTTGTCTTTATATATAATAAATGAGCAACAAATATAAAGAGTATGGTGATCTTAAGGGTGATTGATATGTACAAAATATCAGCTATTGAGTCAAAGCTGGGGAGCCTGTCCAGATTTTGCCCATGTTCATTGGTAAAGCTTGTTTTGTTTGCAAGTTGGTTTAGGAGTGGGGTGGGAAAATAGAGAAAATTTACTGGTTTATATAATTAAAATGTTAAGAGATATAGTTGACTTCAGACACTGCTTGATCTAAGATTCCAGAATTCGGTTTTTCTTTCTTCCTGTTTCAGAATTTTGAATTTTTTCTTCCTTCCTGTTTCCTTTCTGTCTGCACCATTCTTACATGTCCTTGGTAGCTCTCGTGTATCACTGCCATAGTTTACACAGTACAGAACAGTAATTCCCGGTCCCTACTAGTTCTCACTAGTTGAATCTCACGGACGGATGGGTCTAACTTCTGCTTCCTTTGGATTTTGGGCATACCTCAAAAGAATATCCACACATGCTGGGAGAAGAAACTGGAGCCTTTTGAGTATACATAATTTGGAGGCTTTCTCGATCTCTAGTACTGGGAGATAAAAGAGGTCAATAGCCCCCCAACCCCAAATGTGTGGGAAACTGAGTTTATGAGAGTTCCCTCTGAGATATCAAGAAAAATGCTGGCACGTTAAGAGCTGTGAGAAGTCCTGCAGTGAGGAGACGAATTTCTAGAATTTATTGATTACACATTATGTTTTACAGAGCTTTTCATTTTTATTAGCCCATTGCAATATGATATAGGAAATTGTGAGATAGATGATCTCCAACATAAAAATGAATGATTCTCATCATCTCAGTCTATTGCCATTCAATATTCAAATGATAATGTTTCTATTTTTGTGCTTCAGAGTTGCCCAAGCAAACAATTGATTTTACTTTAAATTTCTATATAAGTCAAAGTTTGGGAAGAACACGTCCTAGTTTTCACCAGCAGAAAATTTCAGCATGCATGACAGTCATTTTGCCAATGACAAATTACTAAATTGGACTCTGCTTTATACGTCAGTGATGGAACAGAAAGTCACAAAGGTATCCAGACAAAACTTGACAATTTTATGATATGATATTGAAATGTAAGTAAGTCTTTTGCAATGAAGTTTTTTTATTATTTAATTATATTACACCAATATTAAAAGTATAAAATGCAGATGCTAATTTTAAGTTAAGCTGGGAATTTATTGGAGAGGTAATAAAATATAAAAAATAAAGCACTGTGATTGCTGACTAAGAAATAGTCTTAAACTGTATGTTACAGAATATGACTTACTCTCTTCCATAAGTGGTTTCCTAATATTTTTGGCTCACAGTATTTCCCCAATCATGCGCCTTAAACACAGATGTCCATTTAATCTTTTACAGTTCTTTTCAGTTGATATGTTTTATCATTTGGGCCTCACAAAAATTCTGTGAAAAAGGCTGGGCAAATGAAAACCCATTTTCTTTATAGTTGAAAAATTGAGAGCCACAAGGAAATACTTGCCTGGGGATACGTGGGAAAAACAATAACTGGGGACTCTCACCCTCATCTTTGACTTTAAAAGGGATCTTTTATCAAAATCCACCTTGTTAAATGAGAAAATATTGTGTTTTCTTTCTTCCCAGACACCATCCATATTATGTATTATATATGCTGCATACTTTGTATTTAACTCAACATCATCATCCAACATTTCTTCAATGTTTCTGAAATTAATGCTTATTCTCGAAGAGGAGTCTTCTCTGTCTTATCCTGAATTATCCTCCCCAATTCTAACCACATGAGAGCGTTATAGCAGTGCTAAAGCTGGGCTTTATCAAATAAAGATTGGAAACTCTAGTTGTATCTGGACTTTTGCAACAGTTTAATTTACTTCAAAATCGCTTTTAGAAAGGTAATATTTCAGATAAAATGATTTAATTCATGGGTCTCCTGAATTAAGTTAATTCTCAGAGATGCAGAAATTAGGTACGATGTGAATGCACAATCCCACTGAAAGCAATGTAAATGTTGTGCCTACCAAATTCTCTATGTTATTATTATACCTTCTTAGCAATTCACCAAGAACCTCCACAAGTCCAGTTTGTTAAATGTCTGCTTCTACTAACTGTCTGACCAGAGCTGTAATCTTGGGTTTTCTTTATTTTCTTTTTAGGCTCTGTTATTAACTTCTGTTATCTTTTTATATCTATTAACTTGTGGTTAATTTTTTACTTTCTTAGATATTATGGAACTCAGGGAAAATGTCTTTCTTTTTTATGTGGCTTGTCAGATACAGTTATTTTGCTTGATTCTATAACTTTAATTTACCAAGATCACTTTGACAGCTAATATTCTTTTCTTACACTATGTTTATACTAAATTCTTATAATAGAGTCTCTATGTCACATAGTCATTATCACATTGCACCTTGAACTGTAATTGTGATTTTTATTCTTTCTTACTGAACATAAACTCTTGAAGGCAGGGATTTAGTCATAATTTTCTTGATTTTTATTTTCTCTGTAGTAAAATCTAGCACATAAATATATGCAGAATGTTTGTTATAATAATGAGCTTATGAGCGTCTTTTAACTATTATCGAAGTGACAGATTCAGTGTGAAGCCTGGTGTCTAACTGAGAATTGCTCAATTTGAATTCTCATTTGAAAAGGCTGGAACCATAGGAAATGAGCATGCATCAATAATGAAAGGTAGTTTCATAAACTAGAAAATGAAAAAAATTGAAGTGATGGATTTATAGGAAGGACTTTATTAATCTCACCACTCGTTTCTCAAGGATTCATCACTCACTCTCTCTAATTACTATTCTTCAACTGCATGCTCCACTTGGGACTAAAATATTTGAGGTTATGTAGCAGTGCTTCTAAAGTTTCTATTTACCCTCTTCTTTCTTTGAATTCAAATTGTTTTTGGTTGAAGCCAAATACTGACCTTGACAATATCATTTAACCTTTTTGGGTTTCATAGTTTCATTTTTGAAAAAAGTTTCAGATCAAGATCTTCAACAATTAAATGATTAGACAAAATATTCTTGTTATACCCTGCTTTCCCAACAATTCTTATCCAGAAAGATCACCCCTGAAATTTTTTAAAAAGTACATTGAAAAAAATTTTGCTTATAGAAATTCTACTCTACTCATAAATAAGTATTTTTCACAATTATTTAGGAATTTATATAATTATATAAACATGAAAAATATTTCACAACACATTCCACATTAATATTACTTACCTTATAATTTCTTCCTTATTTAAAATTTTATTTCTCTCAGTATTCGAATGCAAACAGTGAGCTCAGAAGCTCATTTCATGTTTAATGATTGACTACCACACTAGGAAAGGAGCTCTGTCCACCTTTGATTTTATCTTATCAGTTGCTACGCAAATGAAATGACCTGTTCCCATGCTTTGTTTGAGCACCTTGAGTAACCGATGTGACCACAACCCAAATCATTTTCTTCAATCTCTTCCGTTAGCACTTACTGTGTACACATTTAAATACACAACCGAACGATTACCAGTAATAATCTCGCTGTTTAATCCTCTTTCACTCCCTCCCAAGGTGGGATGGGTGATTAAGTCTATAAGACTACTTTAATAAACTTCTCCTAGAATGTATTATTCTTTGAGATTCTTACTGTCTTTTCCATATCCAATGTAATAGATGATATTTGGAGTTGGAATTAAAGGTTTATGTTGCAGCTTTGTAATGTACTTTATGAGATTACTAGATTCATTTGTCTCTTCAGGAATGAAGTTCAGTCTAATTTTGGTCTCAAGAATCTTTTATCTTCTTAAAGATAAAAGTCACTGAATAACTTTTTTTCCTATAATTTATATATATTAAGATTCATCAAAATGAAAATAAAAATTGGGAGACATTTAAAATACCTATTAACTTTTGCCTGAATTTATTTTCAAGCATTACTGAGATATACTTATATTGTTGCGCAAGTTTAAGGTATAAAACGTGTTAATTTAATACATTATGTATTTTGAAGTGATTATCACCTGCATCATGTCACTTAATTACTATCACTTTTTTTTTGTGGTGAGAACATTCAGATCTAATTTCTAAGCAACGTTCAAGTATTATAATACAGTATTTTTCACTTTAATCACTGCATGTATATTAGATCCCTAGAACATATTCATCATATATGTCCCCTGTGATAAACATCTGCTCACTTTTCTAGCCTTCAGTCCCTTGTAACCACCACTTATTCTGTTTCTATGAGATTGGTTTCTTTATTCCACATACAAGTGGTATTATACAGTGTTTCTCTTTATCTGACTTGCTTCACTTAACTATATAATGTGTTCAAGTTCTACCTTTGTTGTCACTAATGGCATAATGTCCTTATTTTCATGTTTGTAAAATATTTCATTATATATGTATCATATTTTCTTTATTCATGGGCAATTAGGTTGTTTTTATCTTTTGGCTATTGTGAATAATGCTGCAATAAATATGGAAATGTGTAAGGTCTTGTGATCTTGTTTTAATTTTCTGAGCTTACATACCCAGAAGTGGGATTGCTGGATCATATGCTGGTTCCGTTTTGAACTTTTCAAGGAAGCTTTATACCATTTTAAATAATGGATACACCAATTTATTCTTCTACCAGCCATGTAAAAGGGTTCCCTTTTCTTCACATCCTTGCCAACACTTGTTAGCTCTTGTCTTCAGTATAATAGCCATTCTAACAGGTGTGAGGTGATAATTTCACTGTAATTTTGACTTGCATCTCCCTGAGGGTGCAAATATCGAGGATTAATGGCCTTCTGGCCATTTGTATGTTCTTTGGAAAAAATATCTGTTCAGTTCCTCTTCCAAATTTTTGATTGGATTTTTTGATTTTGAGTTGTATACATTTTTTTTACATATTTTGGATATTAAACACATATCAGATATATGACTTGCAAAAATGTTCTCCATTTGGAAGTTTGATTTTCCATTTTATTGATGGTTTCCTTTGCTGTAGAGAAGCTTTTAACTTGATTGGGTCCAATTTTTTTTTATTTTTGCTTTTGTTGTTTTTACCTTTGGTACCAGATTCAAAAAATCATTGCCAAGACCAGTGTCAAGAATCTTACTCCCTAGTTTTCTTCAAGAAGTTTTATGGTTTCAGGTCTTACATTTAAGTCTTTAATCCACTTTTAGATGACTGTGTATGGTGCAAGATGGGAATCCAGTTTCATTATTTCATAAGTGGCTATCCACTTTAACCAGCATCAATTATTAAAGAGACTGTCCTTCAACGCCTGGCCTATTTCACTCAGCATAATGCTTTCCAGTTCCATCCATGTTGTTGCAAAGGGTAGTAGCTCCTTCTTTCTCTCTGCTGCATAGAATTCCATTTAACAGGAAGCTAAACAACAAAACAAACAAGCAAGCAGAATAAAAACAAAGACACTGAAATAGAGAACAAGGGGACAGTGACCAGAGGGAAGAGAGAAGGAAATTTAAGGGGGAAAAAGGGGAGGGATTTGGAGGAACAAGTATGAAGGATGCAGGGATGAGAGCTAGGGGGGTTGGAGATGGGAGGGAAGTGGGGAGCATGGGGCTCGGGGGGCTGGGATGGGAGAAATAGACAAGAAACTGTACTTGAAAAATAACTAAATAAAATTTAAAAAAAAAGAGAGACTGTCCTTTGCCATTGTATACTCTTGACTCCTTTGTCATCAATCAATTGACCATATATGCATGGAATTATTTCCTGGCTATCTATTCTGTTTCATTGATCTCTCTGTTAATTTAAGCCAACATCATGCTATTCTAATACAGCTCTGTGGCATAATTTGATTTTAGGAAGTTTGATGTTTCCAGCTTTTTTCTTCTTTCTTAGGATTGTTTTGGCAATTCAAGATCATTTGTGGCACCGTACAAATTTTAAGATTGTTCTATTTCTGTAAAAATTATTTGCCTTTTTCTGTCTTCTTTCATCAATGTTTCATAGTTTTCAGGTACAGATGTATCTCTTCCTTGGTGAAATTTATACCCAAATATTTTATTATTTTTAGTGTTAGTGAAAATGATTTTTTTTCTTAATTTTTCTCTCTGATAGTTTGTTGTTAGTTTATAGAAACAAA